TGACATTTTACTTAGCGGCCTAAGTATTCTTCCAAAAATATTCACATAATAAATCAATGTGCATAAAAATAGAAACTTAGAAATGTCCATAATTCCATTTAGGCCACCTATCACGCAGACAGTCTCAATTAACCATTTCTCTGCTCGCTAAATAAACTCACAAAAATTGCAACATTTCTACACCTCGAACCAAGAATATACCACCAATTTTAAAAATCATTTCCCATAATACTAGAGGAATTAAAGTAATTACTAAAAATCAAAATAGTTCACCCATTACTCAATACCTCACAGAAAATTAACCCCAACAACGATTACATTTAAGAATAACAAAAGTACATACACTCAATTACGCTAAATTACAAAAAAATTCCAATTTCGCCCAGCTGTCCAACTAAAACACTCCACGGTACATCCTTAAACAGCGAAAGGGTTAAATCCTTCGACAAACTGATTTCTAACTGTTGCTTCAAAAAAAAACAACCTAAGAAGAAAAAAAAACACCGTCTCTTAGCTTACGAAACGGATCGATGATCGAGGGGATATTGGGCGATTGTGCAACGATCGCACATGTCGAAAAAAAGTGTCCACGCCGGACAAACACAAGAGGGGGCGAAGGTGAAGGAATTTCTGCTCCACTTCTACAAAAGATCGAACTGTACGTGGCAGCTGATTCAAGCCGATCGATCTCGATCCTCTCCCGAATCGTTTAACATTATAATGACGAGGGCCCCGCTAGAACACTTCGTAACAGGTAGGAACATACCGCGAGACCTGTTGCGAGAGAGAACGGACCCCCCGCAGCCTGCGTTCGCCGACGTCAGATGTTATCTTCATCTATCCAGGCGTAGAGAGAAGCTAGCGAGCCGCTAGATCAACTTTTCATCTCCTCCTGTTCGGCTTGGCGGCAGCGCGAAAATATCTCGCGTTCGCTGTATATCGCGGGAACATCTTGGGAAGATGTACGTCCGAGGGAAGCCCGCATATGCGCGTTTTATCCAACGTTTTTTGGTGGAATTAATGGCCCCTGCTGATGGTGGATACTTTTTCTGTTGATTTTGTGTCTGTCGGACAGTTTGGAATTCTTGTAACTCGGTGCAATTTATGGTAGTTTTGGGGCTTGGTCGTTTTTTTAGTGGGTTTCTTCGGGTTTGATGGGGAAGAGTGGTTCTTGGTGGATTGAGATGAACTATGGTTAGAAGCAAATGGACACTTGACTCTAGAAAGGTGCGCCAGTAATTTAATTTTTGGGAGACCATAGTTTTCTGCAAAATTGCTTTTGTTTCTGTTGGACACTTTGGAGTTCTTGTAACTCTTTTCAGTTTACTGTACCTTTCTGACTCTTTCCTTCTTTTTTTTTTGTGAATTTTTTCATTTTTCTTGGAGAAGAGTGTCCTTTGGTGGAACCGCACTCGAATTTACACTGTGTAATTTTAATTTCCGGAGATCGTAGTTTTCTACAGAGTGAATCCATTGAACTCAGATAATATTTTATGATTACAAATTTTGCAATTAAATCCTGCGTTCCATGGAGCTTGTTTCAGTATCAAGAAAATAGAGACAGCTTCGGTGATGCTGAAAATTCATTAAAAAAAAAAGAAAAACAAGATTCCAAAAAATGTACAAAGTGACAGAAAAATTTGTTTTCTTTCAAATTGGCAAAATTTGAACGATCTCTTCCTCTCTAGAAATAATTGCTCGTTTAATCAGTTATTCGATTGATAACGCAATCAACGATTGGGAATAGTATCACAGTGGCGCGAGCTGCTGGGAGCCGCATAAACTAGCACATCGTGTTCCTCTCGGAATTAAAACAGCGGCTGCTGCTAATTGCCGTATCTAAGAACGCATACAGAGAGTATAGTCTTATCGTTCGAACGTGTACGAAACTTCTATCGACGTTACATTTCCAACACTGCCAGCTCTATCTACAGGCGCAGAGTACTTGGAAGTAGGAAGGTTAGCATATACCACAGGCGATAAGAGAAACTGCGATAACTTTCGTTACAGACTGCTCTCCATCGCAAATATTGCGGTAAGCAATGGCAAATATTTTTTTACCAAGGTGAAGGAAAAATATAAACTGCTCTTCGCTCGAAAATTGACAAATACTATTTGCAAAATATTCCAAATTTTGAAAAGGATTTTTTGAGAAACCTGGAATAATAGGAAATGGGAAATTATCGAGGAAAATTTAAAGAAAATTATTTAAATGCTCCATCGCAAATATTGCAATGAAAAATATATTTTTGTGGCGTTGAAGAAACTGTTCTTCACATCAGAACCGGCGAATATTATTTATAGAATATTCGAAATTTTAAAAATGAATTTTTGAGAAACCTTGAATAACAAAAAATGGGAAATTATCGCGGAAAAATTGCAATAAAGTTATTTAAATGCTTCATCGTAAATATTTTCTATGAACGTGAAGGAGAAATATATTTTTGGAGCGCTAAATAAATTATTCTTCACTTCAAACCTGACGAATATTGTGACACAGAATATTCCAAACTGTAAAAAGGAATTTTCGAGAAATCTCATACACTAAGGGTGGGAAATTTTCCTAATCCAAACTCGACTAGTTCGCTCTAAATAATTACACAGAACGAACCGCGTGTAACGTGACAAATTACTCTATCATTACTGAAATTTTGCTATCAAAATTGAAATTTTTTACCGCCCCATATACATTTTCATTACTCCTTGTTTTCATACTTTTCAAAGTCACTCTCCATATTTTTTACAACTTCGTCAAGCCCGTATTTCAGCGGACAGTGTGTCAGCCACAGTTCTTCAATTCCGACGAGAAAAGAAATACTTTACGACACTTACCTAACTCATCTTAACGATCCGCCAAAACACGATCGCAGAAAATTACAATCTCACCTATAAAAAAAAACCGAACCTTGAAAACGCAATAGAAAAACAACATAAAAACTGCGCTATAATCATCCTAAGAGCCTCTTCGAGCCATTTTATGGGACGTAAAAGAAAAAAAAAAAAAAACACTCTCGATCGATCCAATAGCAGCGGAATAATTCACGAAGCTCACGTAACGTGGATTCGCGCTGCGCAAAAACCGACAAGGATTCATCGTGGAAAAAAAACAGAAACAACTAGGAGATCGCTTTTCTATATAATTTAATTCGAGAAAGCATGATAAATATGTTCTCAAGGAATAACAGTATCTGTACAGAACAGTACGTAAACATTTTCATCCATCTCGCATCATCTGCAACGAATATAAAATTACAACTGTACAATTCGAGAATAAATAACATCGCGATAATTTGTTACAGTAACCATTTTCTCTCTTAGTAAAGCTATTTAGGAAGGATTGTACTCTCCCGACGCGGCTCTGAAAACCGCGCACGGATTTCAAAAAAAAAAAAAAAAAAATTTGCACTTTCTACTCGTTTTCTCTACGCGCATCAGACACGTAGAGAGGGAAAAGAGCCCCAAAAGGACGAGAAAGATGCGTCCGTTCGATTATCATCGTCTTCTAATCTACACCCGACGTAAAAAAAGAAAAAAAAAGGAAAAAAGGCAAGGAAGAAATTTACTTTACCACTAAGTACTACCATAAGCGTGATCGACGTGATGTAACATGCAAACATGATCGGCATCTTCGTCGAAATCTTTCGACGGATGTTTTCTAGAAAAAAAAAGTATGGAAATACGATGGAAAAATTTTCATTTTCATTTTTCTTTCTCGTTTAAACGATCGTGTATATATATGTATATATGCAAAAATGTGATACGATCGAATCGAAGCAACTACGAATTGGAATTAATGTGAGAATTAAAAATACTTTTTGTCGGTTTCCTCCTATCAGTCGTCTCGCCTAACAGAATTCTAAGTTGCTAAGGAAAACGATGATAGTTTAACGTTCGTAAATAGATTTCGGGTAACACAGGGTGTCTGGATTTTAATACTAGACCAAACTATTAGGAACATGTTCTTTGGATAAGTAGAAGAAAAAAAAAAATGCTTCGTTGAAATGTCGTATCAAAATAAAAACGTGTAACCATCGGAAGATTATATTTCATCTTCGTTAGACACACGAAAATAAACAGAGCGTTTCTTTAATAAAGAATTATGCTACCGTAATGGAAGAAGGAAAAAAGTATCATTTTTGGACGATATCGTTAAAATTCAGGCAACCCTGTATACACAATAGTATGCATATATTAAGGTGATCAATTTCGACGAGAATTCGAACGGAATATATCTTCGAAAAAATTTCAATAAATATTTGCACAATTTCCTTATTTTACAATGACTATATTCTACCACGCTTTTCTATTATTATTATCAATAATAACT